AAAAAAAACAAGTCGGATGGTAATTTCAGAAATGGTATAAATAGCGATACATTTTTATTTAAATATCAGTATCATACGAACATATTGTAACTGCGTCTGCAAATATACACCTACTACTAGCAATTATTAAAAAAGATCACTTTTGCGATGGATTCTTCACCTTTATTTCCAAATAATGCAGAAATTTCCGAAGACAAAACAGTAAATAGTACGTTGGATACAATTAATAAGATGGCAATGTGTGACCAATTTAAACCGATTTTACATATAAAAGACATGGTAAAGGACCAGCCTCTTCCAGTAATCAACATCTACCGTAGCAAAACAAGACACGGTAAATGTGTAGTGGTGGAAACCGAAAACAATACAATCTACTTGCCGAAACGAATGTACGAGTGCCTCACAGAAGAACGCATAGAATATATGAAACATTCCCAGCTAACTATTACATACAAGGGAAGTAAAGACGTCGGCAAAGGTAACGAAGCGGGGCTTTTTTCCTTTGAAAAGGCTTAATAATTTTTTGTTGTATAGACATAGGAGAACAGGTGTAATTATTATTTAATTATTCTAATAAAGAATTTGTAATAGAGATAGGTGATAAAATAGCTCAGTTAATTTGTGAAAAAATAACTTAATGTATTTTTATATATGAATATATATGTAAATAGATTGTAATTGTAATAAAATTAATAAAATACTGAACCATAAAATAGACTTTTTTGATCTATAACATTTATACATAACTTGCATTGGTATTTGTTGTTTTCTGCAGGTGTATGATCAATATCTGCCGCCGCACGTGCCGTGTAATAACAGAGGCTTAAAAAATGCCAGTACTATAAACAAACAAGCGGATTACATCACCCGTAGCAACTTGTTCGTACAGAAGTAATGCAAATATCAATAATAATAATGTTATGCGATGGTCAAGGTCAGTAAGAACATTTGTTTGCAAAGAAATATCGTTTCGAAATATTATTTATGACAAAATAATTTCCGTTCTTAAAAAAAAACAAGTCAGATAGTCGTTTCAGAAACGGTATAAATAGCGATACATTTTTATTGTAAATATCAGTATCACACAAACATATTGTAGCTGCGTCTGCAAATATACACCTACTACCTACTAGCAATTATTAAAAAAGATCACTTTTGCGATGGATTCTTCACCTTTGTTTCCAAATAATGCGGAGACAAAAACAGGGAACAGTAAATAGTACATTGGATACAATTAATAAGATGGCAATGTGTGACCAATTTAAACCAATTCTACATATAAAAGACATGGTAAAGGACCAGCCTCTTCCAGTAATCAACATCTATCGTAGCAAAACAAGACACGGTAAATGTGTAGTGGTGGAAACCGAAAACAATACAATCTACTTGCCGAAACGAATGTACGAGTGCCTCACAGAAGAACGCATAGAATATATGAAGCATTCCCAGCTAACTATTACATACAAGGGAAGTAAAGACGTCGGCAAAGGTAAAGAAGCGGGGCTTTTTTCCTTTGAAAAGGCTTAATAATTTTTTGTTTTTTTGTAAAATATATTTTACTACTTATTTGTTTAATATCTTAATAAAAAACTGTGTAATGGAGCATAAAGAGTTTTTTTTTTAACTTATTTGAACAAAGCCAGCATCAATTTGAAAATGCAAAATCCAGATTCGAATTGGAACAACTTCGAAATCAAAATAAAAAAAATATTCGATTATTAATGCAAAAGATTAAAGCTTGTCATAACGAAAATTCTCATATAAGCCTAAAAAGAGCATTGGAAAATATACTGTGTAAATTTAAATCTCTAAATCTAAAATTAATGTTAAAAATACTAAGTAACGCGCCTGTGTCTTTGCTTCCCACCGTTGACAATAAAAGAAAAACGAGAACGAAAGAACAAGCAGGTTGTTCATATAATACCCCGGAAAATAGGAATAGATCAAGTTCTAGAAGCAGTAGAATTCGATGGAATGAGGTAAATTTTTTTTTTATAATATTTAGGATATTTTATTTTTCACATTTTTCCAGATTTCCTCCGCTTTTAAATCTCGCATTCGTACAGGAGTTATAACAAACTTAACACACAAAGAACCGAAAGTTTTCTTAGAGGACTGCTTCGAATTTATTTCATCTCGAATGAAAAATATACTGAAAACAATGATAAATGTGAAGATAAATTTAGAACTGTGCTGTATTTTTATCCAGCCGACTAAAGAAGAGACCTTTCCAAAATATTTCGCCACTCCAAATGTAACAGTTTCTAGATTTGATAATATTCCTCAAAATTTAACTCTACTATTAGAAAAGATCTTGAAAAAAGTAAGTTGCATAATATTAGAAAATATATCGATAGATACATAGATATTTCTTTTCTATTATTGCAGATTGAAGATTATCAGGAAAGCGGAAGTGGATTGGCCTTGTACAGTATCGAACATTTACTCGTTTGCATCAGTAAATATTCCCCGATAGGAGGAGGCGGCGGTGGTGGTGGTTCCCGAAACTCATTCCTCGAGTTGCCGGACCAAGTGCCATGGAAAAAAAACGTATTAAACATTCGGAACGATGATCGAAGGTGCTTTGTTTGGTGCCTAATGGCTCATCTGTTCCCGGCTACGAACAAACCTGAATTAGTGAGTTCTTATCCTCAAGAGTTGCATTCATTTTTTAATTTACAAGGAATAGATATGCCTGTGAAAATTGCAAACATTCCGAAATTTGAACGTCAAAATCCTCAATTTTCCATAAACGTATTTTGCCTCGATAGTAAAACCAATGAAATTGGTGGTCCTATCTATCACACTAAATGTGTTAAAGAACATCACGTCAATTTACTATACTTGCAAAAGAAAAGCAAAGCGCATTATTGTTTAATTCTAAATTTATCAACCTTAGTTAATAAGCAAAAAAATAAAAGTCATCATCGTATAAAAGTGTGCGATCGATGTTTAAATTACTTTTATAGTATAGAAAAGTATGAGCTCCATCAGCAGGATTGTAAACTTTTTGACTCTGTTCGTGTTATTGTTCCAGATAAATCGAAAGCAGTATTAAAATTTAAAAATTATCGAGCAATGTTGCGTAAACCGTTTGTAATATATTGCGACTTTGAATGCTTTACTATGCCGATATCGCATACTAAGCCAAATCCGCTTTCATCGTACGCTTATAATTATCAACAACATGTAGCATACAGCGTTGGCTATTATACCGTATGCTCCTTTAATGCTGTCTATAACAAATTCGATCTTTTCCGCGGAGCAAATCCTGCTGGTTGGTTTGTATCGCAATTGAAAGCAGAGAGTCAAAGAATTTATAACATTCTGTCTTCGGAAAGTTCTCATTCTCTCATTCCCCTCAACGAAGAGGAATTAGAACAACATAAATTAACAAACGAATGTCCTAATTGTTCTCTTTCATTTTCGAATACGAATCCAAAGGTAAAGCATCATTGCCACTATACCGGAAAATATATCGCAAGTATTTGTAATAATTGTAATTTGCAGATAAAAAAAAATTTTGAAGTAAAAGTGGTTTTCCATAATTTAAATTATGACTTGCACTGTTTTTTTCAAGAACTGGCTGCACAGGCGAACGTTAAACTTATTCCTTCCACTGCTGAAAAATATATATCGTTATCAGTTTATTTTGGATTTGTATGTTTGGTGTTCATCGACTCTTTTCGTTTCTTACCCGATAGTTTAGACAATTTAGTAAAAATATTATAACACGATAAACTAACACATACTTCTCAATTCTTTCCTATTATCGAACAGTTTGATCTAGTCAAGAGAAAAGGCGTGTTTTGTTATGATTATGTCAATTCGTGGGCATCGTTAGAAAGTACCAGTTTACCTCCTATTGAGGACTTCTACAGTAAATTAAAAGACGAAAATGTTTCTAACGAAGATTATGCGCATGCATTAAAGGTATGGGATTTGTTTAACTGTAGAAATTTGGGCGAATATTCTGATCTATATTTGAAAACGGACATTTTGCTGACCTATTATGGTTTAGATGCTGCCGAATTTTTAACAACACCCAGTCTCGCTTATTCAAGCGCTCTTAAAACAACTAAAGCACGCATAGATTTACTTACAGACATTGAGATGATATTATTTTTTGAAAGGCAATAAGAGGCCGCATAACTCATTCCGTACATAGGTATGTTAAATGTAATAATCTCGAATTTCCTGACACATTTGATTCAAGCGAAAAAGTCAACTATCTAATGTATTGGGACGTGAATTCTCTCTATGGTTATGCNCAGATGCTTCGGTATGCAAGTGTACGTTTGACAGAGATAGAAGCAATCGATGTTCTTATGTCGACTCATGCTAAAATAATTTCTTATTTTATCTTGCTTCGAAGAGGCAATATCGTCGAAAATGAAGATGGAATTTTCCCTCGCCTCTGACGGATCAATTATTGTTTCATTATCGTCGTAGGAAAAGTAACCAACATCTTTAGTTTTTCTCATTACCTTTTCCAGTAGTTCATATTTGGGTTGGTACAACGATTTGGAATAAAGATGAATATTAGCAAATCTTAAACCGTTTGGATCGATAAGCAAATTGAACATAATATTTGTCTTACCACTCCCGCTCGGACCGCTTATAATCGCCCTTATTGAATTAGGCAGTAGAAGCAAATGATGATGATGAAATCCTCTCATCATATTGCGGATCGAAATTAATGAGAGGCAGGGAAGTGGCCTGTTGTACAACTTTCATCGTAAGACTAACATATTTCACATCTCCCTTCTTTTATATAAATAATAGTGTCGAGGGAAGAAATAAGTCAGTTTCAGTGATAATTCACAGGGGAGAAGGTGTATTGAATACGTTAATTAACAAGCTTCCGTTTGAACTTCATTTACCAGGAGGATATCAGTATTGCGGGCCAGGCACTAAATTATCAAAACGTTTATTGCGCGGCGATCCCGGAATCAATCCGCTCGACAAAGCTTGTAAAGAACACGATATTGCTTACTCTAAAAGTAATCACTTGTCAGATCGTCACACCGCGGATAAAATTTCAGAAGAGGTGGCTTGGAAACGTCTGAAAGCGAAAGATTGGCGAGAAAAGTTCAGCTTGATTTGTTACTAACGCGATGAAAGTCAAACGAAAAATTGAAATGAGATGCCGATTAAACAAGGAGAATACGGAAAACAATAAGAAGAAGAAGAAGACGAAGAGCGGAAGAGGGGTAACTAAAATAAAGCAACGCAAACAAGCTTTTCGTAAAGCGATAGTGAATAAAGTTTCTAATACAATTAAAAAATTTTAATAATCCTTATGATATTAAAGCACTATCTGCTCATGGTGTTAAAACAGCAAGACAATCTGTAAAAGAAGCGGGTGGAAGAAAGAAAATTCGAGTACCGCGTATTATTCCACTACCTAAAACGGGAGGATTTCTACCGTTGATTCCTGCCGTTCTAGCGGGAATATCTGCAATCGGTGGAATTAGTGGCGGCGTGGCCAATGTTGTTAAAGCAGTTAACTATGCGAAAGCAGCTAGGAAACAACTTGACGAAGCTAAACGGCATAATCAAACGATAGAAGCCATAGCTCTCGGAAGAAAAGGAAGCGGTCTCTATTTGAAACCGCACAAATTCGGTATGGGTTTGTATCTAAAAAAGAAAAATTTCCATTAATCCTTCCTTCTCGCGCACTAACTAATGACGAGGTTAATATGTACGCGCGAAAATTAAAAATTCCTTACTTCCGCGGTGTATTCATGAGAGACGCTTTACCGCTTAGCGGCGCAAGAAAATACGAAAGTGGCGTAATCAATTTAGACGAAAGTAGTAATCCGGGTACACATTTCTGCTGTTACATAAAACGGAACAAAAATATTGATTATTTTGACAGTTTTGGCAATCTAAAACCACCACCAGAACTGATAAGATATTGGCAACACTCATCATCGTCAACTCCCAATCAAATTAATTATAACTTCGAGTCTTATTAGACGTACAATACATACAATTGCGGTCATTTGTGTCTGGAATTTCTCTATAAAAAAACCGCTTCCTAATTATTTCGGATTAGTCATGTCGCAAACGTTCACTTTGACAGGTAGAAGCAGCGTTCTTTCGGTAGATTTTTATCCTCCGATAGAGTTAGATAATCGTTACGAGTATTCGGTTGCCCTTATCGGCTTTCACACATACAACAGCATTCCAAATATTCAAGAGGGTGTCAACAATAAATTCTACTACTCCATCAATCCGGGAGAAGAGATCGTTATTAGTTTACCGACAGGATCGTTCGAAATTTCCGATATCGAGAGTTACCTACAGTCTCAAATTCCGCCTTCAGATATAAGTTTAAAACCTAATAATAATACTCTAAAATCTGAACTGAAGTGTAAATATAAAGTTAACTTTAATCATAAGGACAGTATAGGAAACCTATTAGGGTTTTCCCCGAGAATTTTAGAAGAAAACACTTTACATCAGTCCGATTTACCTGTGAATATAATCCAGGTGTCTACAATTCGCATCGAGTGCAATATAGTCAGCGGCTCGTACTGTAACGGATCACCTTGTCACGCAGTATACGAATTCACACCTGCAGTTGATCCAGGTTATTCCATAAATATTGAATCGAAAAACTTGAATTATTTTTACCGATCGATAACCATCGAGCGATTAGTAATATTACAATAAAGATAGTCGATCAAAATTCACAGCTTATTAACTTTCGCGGAGAAGAAATCGTTGTTCGATTGGAATTGAAGAAGCAACATGGGGTTGGTATTTATTAACAACGAAGCCGTTACATATCCAATTAACAACAAGAATAGGGGGGAAGGTCTACATAAATCTACGGTTATTAACAGTAATCAAACATTCGGTACTCGACCATCGATTAAGAGAGAACATTGTTCTTCTATATATAAACATCTTTCACCTGTTAATCGGCAATTTCTAGAAAGCATAGGATTGACGGTAATAGACGGAAAACGACAACGACGACGACGAAATGGAAACTAGTAAACCTCAATTATTTACCAGTCCTGTCTATGACGAATCTATTACAAAAGAAGAAATACACACGTACCCGACAGAAACGAAAGCATACGGCAATAGCGACGAATGTGAGATAAATGTTAATCAGCAAGTTGCATTTTTGGACTTGAGTGAAGTAGCCATTATTGTAGAGGGTGAGGTTGAAGTACGGACAACAACCCCTGAAAATGTCAATATGATTCAAGTGAGATTGACCAACAATACAGCCGTATTTCTCTTTGAATATATCAGTTACGAACTGAATGGTATAGAGTCGACAAAGTACGCGACCCTGGTATGACGAGTACTGTACGAGCATTTCTGTTGTACAGTACCAATCAAAGTCGTGCTCTCAATATAGCCAGCTGGAACTATTTAGACGGAGAGGCGGTGATAAATAAGTAAAAACAACGATTCCTGTTTCGAATTCCTTTAAATTTCCTCTTCGGTCTTTTCCAAGACTATCGAAAGGTGATATGCGGTCGTCATAAGATTCGATTTTTTCGTTCTCATACTGACAATAATTGTTACAAAACCGGATCCAACGAGAAAAAGTTGACTTTCACTAATTCCAACATCGAATTACGTGTGAAACATATATATCCGAACGATGTTGTCAAATTGCGAGTTTTGGAACAAATAGGACAAAATAAACCTATCATTATACCGTTTAGACGATGGGAATTGCATCAGTTACCTTCTTTACGCAATACTGATAAGGACGTGTGGGTCGTTAAGACCAGTATGAATGTCGAAAGGTCTCGGTATGTAATAGTCGTATTTCAGACAGAAAGACGAGATAATATCCTAGAAGATATAATCAGTTTCGATAATGTAGACTTGATGGATATCCGTTTGTTTTTGAATTCCGAATGTTATCCATATGAATCGCATATCAGATGTATGTCGATTTTCAAAAGAACTACTTAAACAAAGTACGAGTATATCCGGAACCGTTAATTTCATACAAAGATTTTGAAAAAAATCCCATTTTTGTCCTTGACACTACAAAACAAAATGAGTCGATAAAATCTTCAACAGTTGATGTTAAATTGGAATTTCAAAGTAGACGACTCTTCCCCTTCCCCGCTAACACAAAAGCGTACTGTATAATTGTACACGATTGCGTAGTGGAATACCGTCCGCTAACGAATATCGTTAGAAATTTGGTATAAACTAAAAATTAAGTTAATTATCTGATCAGTATCGAGNTATAATTGTACACGATTGCGTAGTGGAATACCGTCCGCTAACGAATATCGTTAGAAATTTGGTATAAACTAAAAATTAAGTTAATTATCTGATCAGTATCGAGTTGAGAGTGAGAGGGCATATACAATCAGTATTTTTTATTTTTGTTCTATTAAACACGAACAAGAAGCAGAAAAAAATGAATAGAATTATTCTAGATACTCAAGGATTTCATATTCCCGAACTAAACGGGTTTGTGCCGAAAAAATTGAGCATATTCGATGGAAATCGTACTGCTCATTTTGTTTTCCATATACCGTGTACACTTACATCGTTATCACAAGCCACGAAAAGAATGGTTCGTTGGATTGAAAAAAATAATCTCGGTATCAATTTCTACGATGGATATATAAGTCTGTCCCAGCTACGACCTATTTTAGAAAGATATTTATCTAATGCCGATGAAATATTTGTAAAAGGTCATCAAAAATATCAACTCGTAAAATCCTATTTACCTCAAGCTAATGTTATAGATTTAGGTTACAGTAACATTGTACCAAAGTTTAATAAAAAACCAGCGCATTGTATGTATCATACTAATAAAGACAATGTTTCTTGTTCTACGTCTAACTGTATTTTTATACATGAATACATATGTAAATAGATTTGTAATTGCAATAAAATTAATAAAATAATAACTGTATTTTTATATTTTGTAAATAGATTGTAATTACAATAAAATTAATATAATATTGAACCATAAAATAGACTTTTTTGTTCTATAACATTTATACATAAATTGCATTGGTATTTGTTGTTTTTGCATGTGTATGATCGAGATCTGCCGCCGCACGTGTCGTGTAATAACAGAGGCTTAAAAAATCCAATACTATAAACAAACAAGCCGATTACATCAGCCGTATAAACAAGCAGCAACTTGTTCGTACAGAAGTAATGCAAATATCAATAATAATAATAATATGTTATGCGATGGTCAAGGTCAGTAAAAACATCTGTTTATAAAGAAATATCGTTTCGAAATATTATTCACGACAAAATAATTTCCGTTCTTAAAAAAAAAAAATCGGATGGTAATTTCAGAAATGGTATAAATAGCGATACATTTTTATTTAAATATCAGTATCATACGAACATATTGTAACTGCGTCTGCAAATATACACCTACTACTAGCAATTATTAAAAAAGATCACTTTTGCGATGGATTCTTCACCTTTATTTCCAAATAATGCAGAAATTTCCGAAGACAAAACAGTAAATAGTACGTTGGATACAATTAATAAGATGGCAATGTGTGACCAATTTAAACCGATTTTACATATAAAAGACATGGTAAAGGACCAGCCTCTTCCAGTAATCAACATCTACCGTAGCAAAACAAGACACGGTAAATGTGTAGTGGTGGAAACCGAAAACAATACAATCTACTTGCCGAAACGAATGTACGAGTGCCTCACAGAAGAACGCATAGAATATATGAAGCATTCCCAGCTAACTATTACATACAAGGGAAGTAAAGACGTCGGCAAAGGTAAAGAAGCGGGGCTTTTTTCCTTTGAAAAGGCTTAATAATTTTTTGTTTTTTTGTAAAATATATTTTACTACTTATTTGTTTAATATCTTAATAAAAAACTGTGTAATGGAGCATAAAGAGTTTTTTTTTAACTTATTTGAACAAAGCCAGCATCAATTTGAAAATGCAAAATCCAGATTCGAATTGGAACAACTTCGAAATCAAAATAAAAAAAATATTCGATTATTAATGCAAAAGATTAAAGCTTGTCATAACGAAAATTCTCATATAAGCCTAAAAAGAGCATTGGAAAATATACTGTGTAAATTTAAATCTCTAAATCTAAAATTAATGTTAAAAATACTAAGTAACGGGCCTGTGTCTTTGCTTCCCACCGTTGACAATAAAAGAAAAACGAGAACGAAAGAACAAGCAGGTTGTTCATATAATACCCCGGAAAATAGGAATAGATCAAGTTCTAGAAGCAGTAGAATTCGATGGAACGAGGTAAATTTTTTTTTATAATATTTAGGATATTTTATTTTTCACATTTTTCCAGATTTCCTCCGCTTTTAAATCTCGCATTCGTACAGGAGTTATAACAAACTTAACACACAAAGAACCGAAAGTTTTCTTAGAGGACTGCTTCGAATTTATTTCATCTCGAATGAAAAATATACTGAAAACAATGATAAATGTGAAGATAAATTTAGAACTGTGCTGTATTTTTATCCAGCCGACTAAAGAAGAGACCTTTCCAAAATATTTCGCCACTCCAAATGTAACAGTTTCTAGATTTGATAATATTCCTCAAAATTTAACTCTACTATTAGAAAAGATCTTGAAAAAAGTAAGTTGCATAATATTAGAAAATATATCGATAGATACATAGATATTTCTTTTCTATTATTGCAGATTGAAGATTATCAGGAAAGCGGAAGTGGATTGGCCTTGTACAGTATCGAACATTTACTCGTTTGCATCAGTAAATATTCCCCGATAGGAGGAGGCGGCGGTGGTGGTGGTTCCCGAAACTCATTCCTCGAGTTGCCGGACCAAGTGCCGTGGAAAAAAAACGTATTAAACATTCGGAACGATGATCGAAGGTGCTTTGTTTGGTGCCTAATGGCTCATCTGTTCCCGGCTACGAACAAACCTGAATTAGTGAGTTCTTATCCTCAAGAGTTGCATTCATTTTTTAATTTACAAGGAATAGATATGCCTGTGAAAATTGCAAACATTCCGAAATTTGAACGTCAAAATCCTCAATTTTCCATAAACGTATTTTGCCTCGATAGCAAAAACAATAAAATTGGTGGTCCTATCTATCACACTAAATGTGTTAAAGAACATCACGTCAATTTACTATACTTGCAAAAGAAAATCAAAGCGCATTATTGTTTAATTCTAAATTTATCAACCTTGGTTAATAAGCAAAAAAATAAAAGTCATCATCGTATAGAAGTGTGCGATCGATGTTTAAATTACTTTTATAGTATAGAAAAGTATGAGCTTCATCAGCAGGATTGTAAACTTTTTGACTCTGTTCGTGTTATTGTTCCAGATAAATCGAAAGCAGTATTAAAATTTAAAAATTATCGAGCAATGTTGCGTAAACCGTTTGTAATATATTGCGACTTTGAATGCTTTACTATGCCGATATCGCATACTAAGCCAAATCCGCTTTCATCGTACGCTTATAATTATCAACAACATGTAGCATACAGCGTTGGCTATTATACCGTATGCTCCTTTAATGCTGTCTATAACAAATTCGATCTTTTCCGCGGAGCAAATCCTGCTGGTTGGTTTGTATCGCAATTGAAAGCAGAGAGTCAAAGAATTTATAACATTCTGTCTTCGGAAAGTTCTCATTCTCTCATTCCCCTCAACGAAGAGGAATTAGAACAACATAAATTAACAAACGAATGTCCTAATTGTTCTCTTTCATTTTCGAATACGAATCCAAAGGTAAAGCATCATTGCCACTATACCGGAAAATATATCGCAAGTATTTGTAATAATTGTAATTTGCAGATAAAAAAAAATTTTGAAGTAAAAGTGGTTTTCCATAATTTAAATTATGACTTGCACTGTTTTTTTCAAGAACTGGCTGCACAGGCGAACGTTAAACTTATTCCTTCCACTGCCGAAAAATATATATCGTTATCAGTTTATTTTGGATTAGTTCGTTTGGTGTTTATCGACTCTTTTCGTTTCTTACCCGATAGTTTAGACAATTTAGTAAAAATATTATCCAACGATAAACTAACACATAGGTACTTCTCAATTCTTTCCTATTATCGAACAATTTGATCTAGTCAAGAGAAAAGGCGTGTTTTATTATGATTACGTCAATTCATGGGCATCGTTAGAAAATACCAGTTTACCTCCTATTGAAGACTTCTACAGTAAATTAAAAGACAAAAATGTTTCTAACGAAGATTAGGCGCATGCATTATAGGTATGGGATTTGTTTAACTGTAGAAATTTGGACGAATATTCTGATCTATATTTGAAAACGGACATTTTGCTATTAGTGGACGTTTTTGAAAATTTTAGAAATTTCACAATGACCTATTATGGTTTAGATGCAGCCGAATTTTTAACAACACCCAGTCTCGCTTATTCAAGCGCTCTTAATACAACTAAAGCACGTATAGATTTACTTACACACATTGAGATAATATTACTTTTTGAAAAGGCAATAAGAGGCGGCATAACTCATTCCGTACATAGGTATGCTAAATGTAATAATCTCGAATTTCCTGACACATTTGATTCAGGCGAAAATGTCAGGTATCTAATGTATTGGGACGTGAATTCTCTCTATGGTTATGCTCAATGCCAAGCGTTACCCACAGGTAATTTTCGCCGGTTATCGCTGCAAGAAATTGAGTATATGGAAATCAAGTTGAAAACTGGCATTTTCCATAAGTCCGATAATAACAATGTTTAAAATTTGGATTGGTGTTAAAAAAATTCATCCAGTTATTGAATTTAGGCAGTCCGATTGGTTGAAAAGTTTTATAGATTTAAATACAGATTTTAGAATGAAAAGCAATAGTGACTTTGAAAAGAATTTATTTAAATTGATCATAAACTCGGTTTTCGGTAAATTTTTAGAACGTGATCGCAATAAAAGAGATATAAAAGTTGTAAACAATTGGCGAGCGGCTTCGAAATTAATTTCGTTACCTCATTTTAAGAGAGTTACTATCTTCAATGAAAATTTAATAGCGGTCGAATTGAAACGAACATGTATTGAAATGAACAAGCCCTTATTTCTCGGGTTCACCATATTAGAATTGTCAAAATTAAAAATGTATGATTTCCATCATGATTATATTCAAAGTAGGATTTCTCCTCACTTTCATCCACAACTTCTTTACATGGATACGGATTCCTTAATTTACCAATTTACGCGAACCGACAGTAATAGTAACACCTCTATTTACGACATTATACGCGAAGACGCNAATATCTAGGCTATACAATCAACCAATATGGTTATCAGCCACGTACAGAACGAATTAAAGCAATCACTAACTATAAGCAGCCTGAAACCATTCAAGAGCTACGAAGATTTCTGGGTGTAATCAATTATTACCGCAGATGCTTACCTGACGCAGCCAAACATCAAGCATCTCTTAATGAGTTTATCAAAGATTCAAAGAAAAATGATAAACGTAAAGTTCCATGGACGTCACAAACAATTCAAGCATTCGAGATGTGAAAACGAAGTGTAGCAGAAGCAACACTTATGTCTTTTCCAGATCCTAAAGCACCTTTAGTGCTCAGAACAGATGCTTCTGACGCGGCAGTGGGAGCAGTTTTAGAACAGTTCGTAGAACAGCAATGGAAGCCTATAGGTAGCAATACACAAGCTAATGCCGATGAAAACGAGGTAGTGTCGGTAGAATTCAAACTACCGCCATTTTGGAAACAAGATCCAGCACTTTGGTTCATCCAGGTTGATGCAGCATTTCATCGAAAAAAGATTACCAGTGACAATAATAAATATTGGACAGTCATTTCCTATATTGATCCAGAGTTATTGCAACATGTTTCAGATATAGTGAAAAAACCTCCTGCAACTTACAAATACAAAATGCTCAAAGAAAGTCTAATCAGTCGTCTAAGAACAACACAGGAACAACAGTTACAATTTTTACTTGACGATATCGAATTAGGAGATAATAAACCTTCACAATTGTTACGCAGAATGCAAGATCTAGCTGATAATAAAGTAACAGAAGATGTCCTACGTTCACTTTGGGTAAAACGTCTCCCAGCCAACGTTCGCTTTGTCTTATCTGCCAACGTAGAAACCAGCCTCACTGCAGCAGCAACCCTAGCTGATAGGTTAATTGAAATTAATCCAGTACAAAATGTGATGGCTGTCAGCAATCAAAAAGATGTTCCAGCAACAGTTCCAAGTAAACTGTCTGATGATCAACGATTAGACAAACTAGAGAAAGCAGTCGAAGCTTTGCAAGTGTCAGTAAAAGAGCTTACCAATAGCAGAAGAAGCCGTGATCACACACCAAGAAGCAGATCACGAGCAAAATCGCGTTCTTACGGCCGAACATCTACATTAAAGAATGGGATATGTTTTTATCATGAACGATTTGGTACCAAAGCAAACAAATGTGAAGATGGTTGCACCTTTATACAAAACCAGGGAAACTAAATAAGCTGTCCTTAGCGCAAACGGGAAGCGACAGCAGTTCACTCCAGAAGGAATACCGTTTGTATACTTACGATAAAATGAATAAAATAAAGTTTCTTGTAGACTCAGGTTCAATACTATCAGTATTACCTCGAGATCTCATCAAAACAAAACTAAACCCTGGTCCAATTAAATTATATGCTGCAAATTCCGGTGTCATAAATACCTACGGCAACAGAATCTTACAGGTAGATTTTGGTTTGCGCAGATCCTTCAAATGGTTTTTTATGATAGCAGATGTAAAAAAACCAATTATAGGAGCCGACTTTCTCAGTTATTTTGGTTTGATTATTCACCTTCGTGAGCGATGTCTCATTGATACTAATACGACTCTTACTGCAAAATGTGACGTAATGCGAACTTCCACGTTCAGCATCTCCACTCTCAATCAACAAAACATTTATTCTAACTTATTGAAAGATTTTGTTGACATTACAAAGCCTGCTACAACTCCACGCACAGAAGCCACTTCCCCAGTTGCTCATTATATCGAAATTAGTGGATCTCCAGTTTTTGAACGTCCTAGGAAGTTAGCTGGTGAAAAGCTAGAAGCACTTCATCTTGAAATCGAGTTTATGCTCGAACAACACATCATAAGAGCTTCAAGAGGTCCATGGGCAAGTCCAGTCCATCTCGCACCTAAAAAAATCGATGGATGGCGCGTTTGTGGGGACTACAGAAAATTAAATGCTAAAACAACACCCGATAGATACCCACTACCGCTTCTTCAAGACTTATTTCAGCGTCTTCATGGAAAAAAAGTATTCTCAACTTTAGATTTAGTAAGAGCATACCATCAGATTCCCATGGCAGAACAAGACATTCAAAAAACTGCAATCAACACACCATTTGGTATGTATGAATATGTTGTTATGCCATTCGGGTTACGCAATGCATCACAGACATTTCAAAGGTTTGTTGATTCTGTCTTCAGAGGTCTTGAATTTGTCTTTGTGTACATAGACGATGTGATCGTCATGTCAGAAAACCATGAGCAGCACCAAGATCAGCTAGAGCAAGTTTTCCATCGACTTCGAGAGAACAAATTAGTCATAAACGTCAGCAAATGTGTTTTTGGTCAAGAACAAGTGCAATATCTAGGCTATACAATCAACCAAGATGGTTATCAGCCACCTACAGAACGAATTAAAGCAAACACTAACTATAAGCAGCCTGAAACCATTCAAGAGCTACGAAGATTTCTGGGTGTAATCAATTATTACCGCAGATGCTTGTCTGACGCAGCCAAACATCAAGCATCTCTTAATGAGTTTATCAAAGATTCAAAGAAAAATGATAAACGTAAAGTTCCATGGACGTCACAAACAATTCAAGCATTCGAGATGTGAAAACGAAGTGTAGCAGAAGCAACACTTATGTCTTTTCCAGATCCTAAAGCACCTTTAGTGCTCAGAACAGATGCTTCTGACGCGGCAGTGGGAGCAGTGTTAGAACAGTTCGTAGAACAGCAATGGAAGCCTATAGGCTTGTTCTCAAGGAAACTAAATTCAACTGAACAAAAATACAGCACTTATGATCGAGAACTGCTAGCAGTTCATTCAGCCATAAAGTTTTTCCAACATTTCCTAGAAGATCGTACATTTATTACGAAAACTGATCATAAGCCTCTTGTTTATGCATTACACAGAAAATCCGAGCAAGCTTCATCTCGTCAACTTCGACAGCTGTCATTCATATCACAATTCAGCACAGAAATAGTCTACGTAAAAGGTGAAGATAACATTGTGGCAGATGCATTGTCAAGGATAAATCAAATTAACATGCCAACAGTACTTGGTCCACAAGAGATTCAACGAGCTCAAGCTGATGACGAAGAACTTAAAAACCTTTTAGAAAATTCTAACTCTTCATTGAAATTACAACGTCTCAATGTTGATCCTGAACAAAATGTCTTCATTTATTGTGATATTTCTTCTGGCATTGTTAGACCATTCATTCCTAAGAACCTCTGCAAAACAGCTTTTGAAACAATTCACGGTTTATCTCATCCAAGCGGCAGGACAACGAGCAAACAATTAAAAACAAAATACATCTGGCCTGGAATAAAACGAGATGCCCTAGCTTGGTCACGTGGTTGCTTATCGTGTCAGGATGGATCTTCATCGTCCGAGGCGAATGGTTCTTCTTCGTCACCTGATTCTGCCAACACGATTCTTTTTTTAGTTTTACGAGCAGACTTTCTTGAAGCTTCTGCGTTTTTTTCAGCTACAATAGCTTTTAGTTGTGTTATATCTGGAGATGAATTCAGTATTCCGAATTTGCCTTTCTTACGGTTCACAAATCTTTTCGTTTGCGAACATTTGGGCAATGGAGATATATCTGCAATCGTTAAAGTTGCTTCAGTTCGATTGTTAGATTGGGAGCTCTTTGGATCTGAAGGTTCTCCATCGGTCTGGACATTTGTCTGCGAGCTCACTGGTACTGAAGGCCCTGCATCAGTCTGTTCATTTGTCTGAGAGCCCTCAGGCGCTGAAGGCCTTGCTTCGGTTTGGTTATTTGTCTGAGAGCTCTGAGGCGCTGAAGGCCTTGCTTCGGCTTGGTCTCTTGTATGAGAACTCTCCGGCGTTGAAGGCCCTGCTTCATTTGGGTCACTTGTCTGAGAACTTTTCGACGGTGCAGGCCCTGGTTCGTTTGGATCATTTGTCTCAAAGCTTACAGGTACTGAAAGCCCAGCCTCGTTTTCATCGTTTATCTGAGAGCTCACAGGTGCAGAAGGTTCTGCCTCAGCTTCGGCTTGAGACTGGGAGGTCTGGTCAGTGACGTCTGAAGGTGCAAACATGAGATGGCATACATACTGGGTGAGATGGCATATACCCTATGCCGTCTCATCTGACAGGTACTTAATNAGTGATGTGGCCGTTCAGTACAAACTTCTGATACCAATCGTGAGAGGCGCGAGTGTGCCGGCGTGAGCAGTTGGTAGCAATGAAAAGAGAAGAGCGAGGGGTTATCTATGGTGACAGAAAGTTGACACGACGCGAGAGCTGCGGTCTGAAAGTATTTCCTAAGTTGTTTTTTTTGTTAGTTACCATTTGTATTTAGTGAGAGTTAATAAATATAATAATTATTTCAAACGGTTGCTCCCATCTTTTAAATAGATAGCCCAAAGAATCTATAGTATTGCTACTGTATTGCAAATTTTTACCGCTTGATGGTGGTGTGTGAGCTCGTGTGTATGAGCAGGTGCTTCCCTGCCGATAACGTGTAACGGGTATACTTTTATAATTGCACGTTTTGTGTATGCATATAAAATTATGGTAAGTATATTATAATTATCTATATACCTTTATGTTAAAGGTTTATTTGTAAGCGATTTAAAAAAAAAAACAAAAGTAACAACAGCAAATCGAAGCGGCGTCGACGAGTCGCTGATTCATCTGGAAATAGTAGTGAGGAGTTGACCATGAAATGGTATTCATTGTGTTTTGATTTTGAGAAATGTAATCTTACGGTCGGGAACGCGACGGAAGGAAAGTCGTGAAATACTTGACTGATATATGTTTTACTAGTGAGAGAGTTTATGTACAGACGCCTTGTAGTCAACATTTAAAATAAAGACTTTGAACTAGGACGAGAATTTTTCCCCACGGAAACGGGTTACTTTGGCCCGAGCTAAAGTTATACATATATACTGAAAAGTCTTTACGCTTTTCGCATGTGCGAACTTTTAAATTTATTGCAGAATGAACACAGAAAAAAACATGCCATACATATATAAAAGAAAAGTAGGAAGCCGCACCTACGTGAACTACAGTGATGAAAAGTTAGAGCTCTGTTTAAACGAAATTAGAGATAAGACCATGACTCTAAGGCAAGCAGCGGAATATTTCAATATTCCCAGAAGCACAATAGAAAATAAGTTAAAAAGCAGATTTCCGTTGAAACCCGGACGCCCAACGATTTTTACGCAAGCCGAGGAGAACTCCTTTGCGGAGCACCGAATATGGATTCTTGGAAACTGAGTCAGATTTTCGTTTTATTATAAAGGCCTATTTGGGTACTCAAGGTCGAACTGTACGAAATTTCAAGGACAATTTATCAGGAAAGGATTGGACAAAGCTGTATCTCAAACGACATCCCGAACTTTCTGTCCATTTCGCTTCTAACATAAAAAAAGTTAGAGCGTCTTTTAGTGAGGATATTATTAGTGAATACACTGATAATCTGAAAACTGTCATAGAAGGCGTGCCCCCTGATCAAATCTACAATTATGACGAAAGTAATCTTACTGACGATCCAGGACTCTCTCGAGTAATATGCCGACGGGGATGTAAATATCCAGAGAGGGTGATGAACTCGTCCAAATCAAGCACGTCGGTCATGTTTTGCGGAAATGCTGCAGGAGTTGCTGTTCCACCATACATCAAATCTGTGGTTCATTGGACAGAAAACGGTCCACAGGGAGCATGATATAAGCGGACTAAACATTGCTGGATGGATGGCGCAACCTTCGAGGAGTGGTTTACTGTACACCTTTTGCCCATCTTGCGACGACAACCAGGAAAAAAGGTGCTAATCGGAGACAATCTTAGTTCAAACATCAGTCCAAAAGTGTAAAAATTACGTGCAGAAAACTAAACAGCTTTTGTGTGTTTACCACCTAATTCTAGTAATTTAACATAGCTCCTCGATATAGCGTACTTTCGGCCCCTAAAAATTAAATGGAGGCAAGTGCTGACTACCTCAAAACAATCCGAAAACAAAGCACTCGAAGAGCTTGAACCGGCAGTTCCTCAAAACTTAAAATCAGGATTCAGAAAGGCAGGCATAGTTCCCATAAATAAGCATGAAATTTTGAACCGCTTACCTAGTCAAGATCGCAGCAACGTCAACGCAAAAATAGGGGTGGCTTTCTTAGAAAGGCTCGCGGAAAACAAAATGGAGCTGAGAACGCCTCAAAATAATCGCAGGAAAAAGTTAGCTGTTCCTCTTTTCCAAAGTATTACATCTGAAGCTTTGGAAAGTCATTTAAGAGATTCCACGCCTCAAGTGACTGGCAAAAAAGGAAGATCGAAAAAAACGAAGCCTATTGCCTGTTCAGGGAATAGTCCTATGTCGATTGATTTCTTTTCGAATAATGCAAACGATATAGAAAAATTTGAAAGCAATGAAGAAGAAATTCATGAACCTGTCACTTCAACCACTAACGAATCGGACGTAGTCATTACGGAAAAACAAAATTCTTCACTGAGAGACCAGATAACTGCAGGAGATTTCGTTATTGTAGTTTTTAATGACATGGAATATCCAGGAAAAGTCGTCACAGTGGAAGATGATGGAGCAGTTGTTGATTGTATGCAAAAAGGAAACAAGTTCTGGAGATGGCCGAAACAGAAAGATATTTTAATGTATAAATGGTGTGACATAAGGAAAAAGATTTCGGTTCCCAAAGAATTAAAGAAAGGTTTTTTTAATGTTTTAGGACTTGATTTGTATTAATGTAACATTTTTTACTGCTTTTTCATCAATAAAACTATTTTTTGCGTATTTTACACACACAAGCATACTTTTACATGTTACAAAGGCGTATCATCAAAACGAATGCAAAAATGTAGATTTGAAGTTCCTTTTATGCCATTTAAGACAACAATGTTCTTGACACCGATGAAAGACACTGAAGATGGATTTAAAGTGTATCAAGCAAAATATAATAATCTCAGAGGAAAATTATGAATACGATGATTTCCAAACATTTTATGAAGATAATAATATGCATTCAGATCAAGAGTATGCTGATATTATTCGTGCTGGAATCAATCGACCAAAAGTTTTTCCGAAGCGTCAACCCAATGAAAAATGGCACAATCCCTTTAATCCATTTATATTAAACATTGTTAAATCTTATACAAACTTTCAATTTATAACAGTATTCGTGCGCGGCTTACGTCGTAGAGTACCTCAAAAAAACGAATAGAGGTGTTAGCAATTTACAAAGAAAAATAATTGAGATCATGGATGAACACCCAGAATTTGATATATTTGAAGTTAATAAAAATATAAGTATCAATCTTTTGAATTATACTGAGGTAACGATGGAATATCGGTAATAAAATATTTCTACTTTTGCGTGACAATGCAAAAAATATGGTCAGCGCTATGCGGGGTAAATTTGAATCTTTAGGCTGCGTGTCACACACAGTTGGTAGTGAAAGATGCATTGTTTTCGGAAGAAGAACATGAACAAATCATTAAAACTTGCAGACATATAGTAGGGCACTTCAGACGAAGCGAGCAGGCTTCTAGAAAATTGACTGAATGTGAAAATCAATGCGGATTACCACTTACACTCATTAATTCAGGATATTGAAGTTAGATGGAACAGTACTTACAACATGTTAGCAAGATTGTTTGAACAAAAAACTGCCATAAATTTATACAGCTTGGAACATGGCCATATTGACATTCTTTCGCCTTCGGACTGGGAAATTATAAAGAATCTTACAGAGGTACTAAAGTTCTTTTATGAAGCTACACTTGATCTGTCATATGATAACGCATGCATATCTCTTGCAATTCCTTTGATATCACTGTTAAATAGAAAGCTGCAAACTAGAGACGAAAATGAAAGTAAAATAATGAGAATCATGAAAACACGGTTGCATGAATCACTGACACGACGATTTGCATACGTCAAAGGACATCCTGCTCTAAAAACTTCAACATTGCTGGATCCAAGGTTTAAAAGTACATATTATCTCATTTCTGATGAAGTTGACATTACTACTCTGGAAATAGAAAACCATTTAAAGATGTCACGTTAGCGATACAATAAGTGAAAACTGTCATTCTGAAGAACCACAGCCATCCTGTTCATCTAGAATAGCTTATTCAGAAAAAGGAGAAGGGCTTTGGGACTCCGATGATAAATCTACTTGTCACTTAATAGAAACCTCTGGTGTGGAGAACTGTGATTGTGTATCTCAAATTAAGCTAACTATTCAAGCATACTTGTCAGAGCCTAGGCTACAGAGAAGTGCAGATATTTATTCTTACTGGGAATCTAGTCCACTTCTGTCTTTGAGAAAGGTGGCACTGAAATTCTTATCAGCTCCACCGACGAGTGTTTCCAGTGAACAATTATTTAGTACTGCTGGACAAATTTATTCAGACAGGAGGAGCAATCTGCAAGGCGAAAATGTAAAAACTATTGTTTCTCACCTATAACATAAGATTGTTTAACTATGAATACTAATAAGAAATAACGATTACAGGTACCTACTTGAAATTATTAGTAGTCGTCGCCTTTTGCAATATTATGATCACGATTAGTTTATAATTTAGTCGTTTACCTTTTGTTTCTGTTGAAGTTTAGTGTCATTCAACATGACGAATTAAGTTTAGAAGAAGTTAATTTGTTCTTAATTAAGATAAAAGTGATTTATTTTGTTTTGTTTATTACTTAAATATTAAGTTCCTATACCTATTGTGATATTAGGTAACAATAACAAAAGTAATTTTATGTTTAATATTATATAAAAAAAAGCATGAATAATCTTCAAAAGAAAAATGAGTCTAGTCTACTATACTTACACAAATAAACATGTCACCTATTTTAAGTATTTTTAAGGCGCAATTAAAGTATTTCCTTAAATGAGGGGTTGTTATGTTGATTTTGATTTGATTATCAATAAGTGAAAATGTCAAAGAGTGTAGAGCTATGTGATTTAAAGATAAAAAATAAAACTGACTGATTATAATAACGTTTCCTTTATTTTTCTCTCGAAACATGAACCTTATAAGGAAGTTTCGGTTTCGGTTTCGGCCGAAACTGAGACCGTTGCNCAACATCTCCTCACCGAGAAATACCATTCGTCAAGGGACGACTTACGCTGAAGCCACTAGCAAAGAAGTGAACCCTAGTTGTGTATCCGACAAAGGGGGCTCACCGCTCCAATAACTAAACAACTGTACGCTTATCTTCCAACCAACGAGCGCTTATGTGTAAAGAGAATTAGTGCTAGTGCAATTAGTAAAATTGTAAAAATTACAAAATAAATCTCTTTATTTTCATTAATACTGCTTCAATCTCAATTAATAAAACTATTGGCGATCACGTTTTAATTCTTTTATGAATGAAACAAATCGTCCAGAATGAAGGAATAAAATATTAATAGCGTAGTATTTTAGTATGATAGCGCATAAACCCGATTGCTCAGATAGTGCTCATAGCTATGTGTATATACTCTATGCGCTCTATAAGTCTTAAACTATTACCGATCACGTTTTTTGTTGTGAAAAATTAGTACACTTAACGCTTTAATTCAAGTTACAAAAAAAAAGGTTACTCAAACACCGATTTGAAATTCCTTCCGGTTTGCTATACGTAAAAGGAGTTCCGTTGTGACCGTCGTGTAGGACGGACGTGTTTTTTCGTACAACGTGCATTAAGTCGGGTACAGTAATACAAAATATAGGGTTGTTCGGAAAGTCATTTCGTTTTTTTTTGTGGAAATGAAAGACAGTTTTCGTATAATAAACAAATACTTTATTAAATTATATATTGACCGTTCTGGTCCAACACCTTTTGCCATCTTTCTGGTAGTAGCATAATTCCACGCTCATAAAATTTTTGGTCTTTGCTGGCAAAAAACTGATCGAGGAGGTTTTTGACCTCCTCATTTGAGGTGAAGGTTTTACCGTCTAAAAAATTTTGGAGTGACCGGAACAAATAATAATCCGATGGTGCCAGGTCTGGAGAATATGGTGGGTGTAGCATTGTATCCCATTCAAGCTGTAAAAGCTTTTGGCGAGTGACCAAACTTGTGTGAGGTCTCGCGTTGTCTTGGTGAAACACTACACCTTTCCTGTTGATTAGTTCTGACCTTTTCTGTTGAAGTGCATCATTCAGTTTGTCCAGCTGATGACAGTAGACTTCCGAATTAATCGTTGTGTTATCCGGTAAAAGCTAAAAAAAAACGATTCCTTTAAAATCCCACCAAACAGACAGCATCACCTTTTTTTGGTGAATATCGGCTTTGGAAATGGTTTGAGCCGGTTCATCTTTTTTGCTCCATGACCTCTTGCGTTTGACGTTGTTGTATACAACCCATTTTTCGTCCCCAGTGATGATGCGCTTCAAAAACGGATCATTTTCGTGACGTTTGAGAAGCGAATCGCAGACGTCAATGCGGCGACACAGATTTCTCTCTGTGAGAACATGGGGAACCCATACATCGAGCTTCGAGGATAATCCCAGGCCTTTCAAGTGGTCATAAACTGTTGAATTTGATAAATTTAACCTCAATCCGATCTCACGTGTTGTTATTCGCCGGTTCACATCAACTAATGCCTTTATCGCGTCTTTATCAGCTTCAACCGGCCTTCCCGAACGTGGTGCATCTTCGACATCAAAATTGCCGGATCGAAATTTAGCGAACCAGTTCTGGCACTGGCGTACTGTCAACACACCTTCTCCATACACATCAGTCAATTTCTTTCTGGCTTGAACAGCATTTTTACCCTTTCTGTAGTAAAACAGTAAGATATGTCGAAAATGCTGCTTATCGCTCTCCATATTTAAAAGGGCACCAACCAAAAACTACTGCGTAGAATTAATTGGAATTTTTCACACACAAGCCTTGCTATATGAGCTCTCAAAGCATATAAAAATTATACGGCTTAAATGTGAAGTTGGGTGCAAAAGAATACAATTAAATCCTCTGTCGGGAAAAAAAACGAAATGACTTTCCGAAGAACCCACAGTTTAATGTAAATCATGTTAGAACAGAAATATAATCAACAATATGGATAAACAACCTCAGCAGAAAGAATCTTCTTATAGTGTTGAGAAATTAAATGAAAAGAATACCATGAGTGAAGACATTCGCGTAGAAAGACAATCTTAGAAATCGCTAGACTCATACCTAAAGGTTAGCAGAAACGCTGCCAGTCATACAACACCAACCAAACTAAGGAAACGTGGCAGACCTAAGGAGGTTCTTTCTACCAATACAGAAATGATCAAACAAGGTAACAACAGCAATATAATTATAAATAAAGACCAACTAATCAATCATAATGGCGATTTGGGCGTTGGCTCGACAGAAGCGCCATATCGTCTTAAAAAGCCGAACGAAGTACCGACATCACACTCAAGCACACAGGTAGAAGAACAGTTCCCTGTTATTCAACCTAATCCCTCCGGTACACCACCTCAAGATGTCGCCATGGTACCAACGTCAAACCAATTCGAAATATTAGACAGCAACTGTCTCCGTAAATTGATTGGGTCAAAACCTACGCTAAGGAAAACCATCCTAAACATTGAAGAATCCATCACAATCAATATTAATAAAGACTTCGAAAACACAAGAAAAGAACCACAGCCTCCACCCATAACTATAACAGACAAAGCCATCCTATCGTCCAAAGAAGGGTTAAAATGTATTGACAAAATAGTGGGAACTACAAACTCTTGTTGCAAACTTAACAACTTCGTACAGCGCGCGTACATCAAAACTTCATCGAACGAGGCTCACAAAATAATTTTGAAGTTTTTGCAGGAGGAAAACGTGAGCTATTTTACATATAGTCGCAAAGCTGACAGATTAAAGGCTAAGAAATTTATAATTAAAAACGTATATTTACCAGACTTCTCCGAAGCAGAAATCATAGATAATATCTCCCAGAAACAGGGAATTAAGCCACGTCGACCAATTAAATATCGAAGTAATGTAACCCTATTACTAATTTTTGATGCCGTTGTCCCGGATGAAGCCGTGTGGAAAATTGAAAATGTAATGAGACAGAGGCTGAAAATTTAACGTTTTCGCAACAAAACCGACGCAGTCACCCAGTGTAAAAATTGTTATCAGTTTGGGCATGTCAAAATTAACTGTGGACAAGAACCTAAATCTGAAACAGAAACCATATTTATCGATGATGGCAACGAGATGTAGGTGTGCTATAATTGTAAAAAACCTGGTCACACGGCTCGCAACGCAATGTACGAAACCTTTAAAAAAGAAATGGCACGCAAACGAAAGGAGCGAGAGGATCTTGTTTGCAATAACAGAAAGGAACGAGCAACAGATAGCATCCCATTGCACAATCAACTAGAAAAAAACAACATCTCCTCACCGAGAAATACCATTCGTCAAGGGACGACTTACGCTGAAGCCACTAGCAAAGAAGTGAACCCTAGTTGTGTATCCGACAAAGGGGGCNGGATGAAGCCGTGTGGAAAATTAAAAGTGTAATGAGCCAGAGGGTGATAATTGAACGTTTTCGCAACAAAACCGACGCAGTCGCTCAGTGTAAAAATTGTTTTCAGTTTGGGCATGTCAAAATTAACTGTGGACAAGAACCTAAATCTGAAACAGAAACCATACTTATCGATGATGGCAACGAGATGCAGGTGTGCTTTAATTGTAAAAAACCTGGTCACACGGCCCGCAACGCAATGTGCGAAACCTTTAAAAAAGAAATGGCACGCAAACGAAAAGAGCGATAGGATTTTGTTCGCAATAACAGAAAGGAACGAGCAACAGATAGCATCCCATTGCACAATCAACTAGAAAAAAACATCTTCTCACAGAGAAATACCATTCGTCAAGGAATGACTTACGCTGAAGCCACTAGCAAAGAAGTGAACCCTAGTTGTGTATCCGACAAAGGGGGCCAATACATACAAACAATAGACTCGACACAAAGCATGTTTCATAACCTCAATTATAGGGACAAACTGCTTGAAACTATGGAGAAGTACACTCAATATGACATTCCTGAAGTCGCCCAACTCTGTATTAAAATTACGGCCACAGTCTTGAACTTATCACTTTCAAATACTGCTGTAAGTCAAAAGTGCATGGCTTTTGTCAGACAAATAATCCAAGCAATAGCCTTACATGGATAATTTGACCATATTGCACTGTAATATACAAGGTCTTAGATCCAAACCACAGGAATTGCTTCAGCTAATTCTAAAACACAAACCTGACATTGCAGTAATTAATGAACTTAATCTTCGCAATAAACAATTTAAGGACAACATTCAGGGTTATCTAAAGGTACAGGACATTCTTGCACCCCATTTGGGGACTTGAATCTACATCAGGGAGGAGCTAACTTGGGTCCAGGAACATCTTCTACCGGATGATGTCAATGAACGTGAAATAGAGGGCTGTAGAATCCGCATAAACTTAATCAATAACACCAAACTATCTGTAGCTGGAATTTACATACCAAATAAAATTGAAAAACACACAGCACAATCGACTTTGCAGTTTCTAGTCTCCATGGTAATAGGAGGACTACGGCCAAATCGGAAGATGACGTTGGGTCGGACCATATTCCCTGGATCTTGAAAATTGAAAAACAGCCTTCGAGGACAACCAAAATGTTTCGCAATATCAATCTTCTTGATAAAAAGAAATATAAAGAAACTACGAATGAATTGACAGCTCAGTACTCATGGAAAATAGAATCCAATGCTGATTGTGAGGATCAGATCCAAAAAATTGAGCAAGTAATTCATACGGCGTTGGATGAACTATGCCCAAAAAAACAAATAACACCAGGAAGCTCCAATTAACTACCACCCGAATTGCAATCTAAAATCAGAGAGCGGAATGGGCTACGTAATTTCTGTAACCGATTTTATTCGACAGTAGCCCATCAAAGGTTGCAAGACCTTAAGGAGAGCATAAAAGAAGAGCTCCGCGAAGTCAAGCAACAACAGTGGACAAAAATCCTAAATAGTAAAGAAAATCATAGGAAAAAACTATGGAAAATATAAAAGAGCATTAAAAGCTCAGACCGACCACTGCCCTACTTAAAAACCGCCACTATAGAAGACACAGCAAACAGGCTGATGGACGCAGCATTAGTCAAAACGTCGCAAGTTGCACAAGATGACAAAACCTCCCTCGCTTTGACACCTTCGTCATTTTCCTTAAAAATTAATAGCATGCCAACGTTCCCTCTTCACAAACAACCCAAAACCATACCGTTCCTTTTTCTACCTACACTAAACATAGACAAACACTTACAACTAAAATAAAAATAATAATACTACTAACTACGCTTTCTTAATTCCATTTTAACATTAACTTATACTACATTCGGCCATCTTGCGCAAACATTTGCCCTCAGATGTATTCGGTCTCGTCGGCCTTGACAAATTCGGTTTCATCTCCTGCAGCCCTAGGCTTCCTAGTTGGGTTCTTTTAATGGCCACCCACTCGCCCTCGTATCGATTTGGCATCTTTCGTTTTTTGTCATAGCCACGCTTGTTAGAATCCTGAATATTTCCTATGGTATTTTTTGCTTCCGCTCTTAATTCATCCGTATCCTCCTCAAATATGGCTGTCCATTCTTGTTGTATCAGTTCCTTAATGTTGTTGTCGTCCTTAAGCCGGGCGTTAACCCCGAATAACACGGTGCTTTACCTGTACCTCGGTTTGGGGTAGCATTTAAATATTTGTGTGCCGTCTCAATGTATTTGTACCAATTCTCGGGGATCGGAGAGGTTAATTTGGTAAGAAGAGGAAGTAGAGTCCGATTTACTCTCTCTACCTGCCCGTTACCCCTTGGAACACCCGTCACAATAATTGTGTGTTCGATTTTTTCTGTCTCACTATTCGTCGAGGGTTTCAAAAAACGACGGATTGCTTCGTTAAACGGTCAATAACTTCAGCGGCATCAGTAGACTTTGTTGGATACAACCAAATAAATTTACCTACCTACACCTACATCTTTAAACAATAATCCGTTTCTCAGTAAGTATCCGTCGGCTTGATTACGGTTGGTCTCGTCTATTATTGTTTTCAATTCTGCATCATGTTCTTGTTGATCTCTGAGACGTGTAATCAAATCGACTTCACTTTCACATATAAGAAACGTACTAGGCAAAGGGTTGCGTTATAGTGCGTCAACATGCCGTATGCTTTTCCTTGACCTATCACACAATTCGTAATTAAATTATTGTAATATTTCAGCCCAACGGGCTGCACGCACACAAAGCTCTTTTTTCTTTATAGTCATAACAAACGTTCGACAATCGGTAATAATCTTAAATCTAATTCCTAATAAATACCTTCCAAAGTTAGTTAGTGCTTTAACATTAGCTAATACTTCTAATTCGTAACTAGCCTACCTCCTCTCAGTCTCGGTAGTCTTTCCGCTAGCAAAGTAAACCGGATGGAACATATTATCATTCTCGTCTAATTGCATTAAAATTGCTCCGTAACCGTACTGCGATGCATTGGTTTGTAACTCAGTCTCTGCATCTACCCTATATATTTAAGTATAGGCTTACTAAATAGTGCGGTTTTAATTGATTCAAAAGCTTCGACTTCGCGAGCTCCAAAGTAATATTTCGAGTCCTTCTTCAATAAATCAGTTAGTGGCCTGGCTATTGAGGCATATCCTCTCACGAATTTTCGGAAATATCCCGTTAGCCCGAGAAAGCTCTAGACATGCTTGACGCATGTGGGACCCGGGAAATTGCTTGCCGCCAAAGTTTTTCGTTCAGATAGTCGTATAGCATCATGCACAACAATATATTCGAGATATTCTATTTGTCGTTGCAAAAATGGGAATTTTTCCCTGTTAATGTTTAACCCATGCTGACTGGCCACATTTAAAACTTGTTTCAATCTTTTCATCGCTACGTTCATGCTATTGGCTAATATTATTAGATCATCCATATACGTCACGATTATTTTTTCTTTTATGAGTTCTTGAAACGCGACTTTTATAAATTTCTGGAAAATTATGGGCGATACACATAGTCCAAGAGGAGTCTTAAGGAACTCATACTGGCCTGTGGGAGTGACAAATGACGTACATTTCTGACTTTTTTCGTCCATTGGAACATGGAAGAACCCGTTCTTTAAATCAGTAGTTGAAAAGATTTCCGCTCCTTGTAACGCATTTAATTGATCATTTATGAGCGGAAGAGGGAAATGTGATTGTAATATCAACTTGTTGAGCGCGCGATAGTCTATACATATTCTCGTGGAGCCGTTTCTTTTTTTAACCAAAACAATCGGACTTGCATATTCCGAATTAGAGGGTTTAATAACACCTTCGTCAAGCCACACGCTTGTTAATTCGTCTACTTCTTGTTTTTCTTCTGCTGACAGTCTTCGCGGCCTTGATCCCACCGGTACCTCGCTACTCAATATAATTTTTGTTCTAATTCCGATGTCGCGCGTTTTTTCCGGCTTATAATCGGTTATCATTTTCTTTACTTCATCACGGCAACATTTATCATTAATATAGGATAGTTCGATGTCATTAGCTTCAGAGATAGTATTTTTGGCAAAAATTTCTAAACAACTTTCCGATTTTACATCGTAGAGCTTTAAAAAGAATACGATTTCCTGTCGCACACGCAATTCAACTTTATCTAAAAAATCGGTTTCTAACAACAAACCGCGCTTAAGTGCTTCCTTCGGTACTACATGAAACGTTACTAGAAATCCATCACCGTCAACTTTCATACGTTTTGTAAACTCACTCAGTGTTACGTTACCAGTGGATCCGAGACCTTCAAACTTAAGTTTACGCTTTCCCAAAACAAGAGATCCTATTTTTTCATATTAAGTTCATAAAGTTAAATCGCTACTTGTATCCACTAAAACTACAAACTTACGGTCCTCTACTACAACTTCTTTCACGTAATTTTGCTTGTTTAGTCTTGATACAACAAAAGCTTCCTTATTCTTCCCGCGCACTTCGCGGCAAAGTGCCAGAACCCGTTGCATTTAATGCACTTTACTTCCTTTTCATTCGTTGGACACTCGGCACTCAAAATGGTCTTTTTCACCACAGTTGTAACATCTTTTCACCTTGACAGCTGAACATCCCTCGGTGTGTCTGTTCCCTACGTCCCTGGCATTGTGGCGTCTACCACCGTCGTCCTTCTTGGCCGGTGCTTTACTTTTGCTCTTCATATCGCTTTAATGCCTCGTATTGCGTCAGCTTCTCCTTTAATTGTCTTATGTTCTTCGCGCGATACAGTAAGGTTTGCGGTTTTATTTGCGGCCTCATCAGGTATTCCCTGAATTATGTATTGCATTACAGACTGCGTATCCACCATCGCTTGACTCGCGATTTCCAACATTCTGTACACATCTTGTTGGTGAGTTTCATCTGTTCTCTTTTTACGCTGCGACAATTCCTGATGTATGTGGTAACTATCTACGACTTCATCTAACTCTCCCTTTAACGCTTCTTTGCGCACTTCTCATGGTTTACGAATAATTTTGCTGACTCCTTTAGCAATCTCTTTGCGTATGTTACCTTCTGAACGTGGGACCACGCGCATAGGTCTGCCGTTTCTTCAAAGTCCAATCCATTGATTGACATTTATGTAATTATCTCCGCCAATCTTTTCAAGAGATTCCTCGACATCCCTGAATGTTAGTTCTGGTTGCGGTACAGGCTCACTTCTTCAGCGTCGCTTGCCAGATGCTGGTGCTTTGGACGCTGGAACGGTTTCGTCTTCATCGTCTTCATCGTCTTCGTTTTCATCATCGTCTTCGTCGACGACTTCTTCGTCGTCTTCTGTGTCATCCCGATCGCGTTCAACACTTAACGCAGCTTTTAGTCGAGCAACCAAACCTTTTTTTAGTCCCGTTGTTTTGAGCTGTCGTCTTCGAAGCTCCGTCTTAAGTTAGGGAATTTTCATTTTGTCTACCTCTTCGTCGGTCAAGATTGATTGTTCTATTTGAATCTCCTTTTCACCGTTGTTTGATACTTCGTCGTCTGCCATTTTTTCTTTTGTAAAACTCTTCACCGTTTTTAATACATCCGAACACTCGCCTTCTTCCCTTGCCACTTATTACTCACTAGTTACCGTGATCCCGGACGAGCCCCCAAATGTAGTATGATATATTAAATTAACAA